GACATCAACGGATGTCATCGGAGGTGCCACCACGGCGGTGCCGGAGCCAACCGGCATTGACGGGGAGCCGGGGGTCGGTGTGACGCAGAACCGTGGGATGTCGGCTCCTGGGGCACCGGGTCCGGGGATGCCACCACCAACCGGGATGCCACCAGGTTCTGGGATGCCACCAGGTTCTGGGGTGGCACCGGTTCCAGGGATGTCACCAGCTCCGGGAATGCCACCAGGTTCTGGGATGCCACCAGGTTCTGGGGTGGCACCGGTTCCAGGGATGTCACCAGCTCCGGGAATGCCACCAGGTTCTGGGATGCCACCAGGTTCTGGGGTGGCACCGGTTCCAGGGATGTCACCAGCTCCGGGAATGCCACCAGGTTCTGGGATGCCACCAGGTTCTGGGGTGGCACCGGTTCCAGGGATGTCACCAGCTCCGGGAATGCCACCAGGTTCTGGGATGCCACCAGGTTCTGGGGTGGCACCGGTTCCAGGGATGTCACCAGCTCCGGGAATGCTGCCGTCAACCGGGATGTCACCAGCTCCAGCGATGCCACCGGCTCCAGGGATGCCACCGCCAACCGGAATGCCACCAGGTCCAGGGATGTCACCAGCTCCGGGAATGCCACTGTCAACCGGGATGTCACCAGCTCCAGGAATGTCACCAGCTCCAGGGATGCCACCACAGCTGGTGCCCACCATGCAGCCGCAGCTGGCTCCAGGGATGCCACCAGCTCCAGAGATGCCACCAACCATTGGGATGCCACCAACGGTGGGGATGTCACCAGCTCTAGGGATGCCACCAGCCCAAGGAATGCCACCAACAGTGGAGATGCCACCATCATCTGGGATGCCACGAACCCAAGGAATGCCACCATGCCCCCAACCCCAGGGATGCCACCCCCACCCCAAGTGATGCCACCAACCATGGGGATGCCACCACCAACTGGGATGCCACCACCATCATCTGGGATGCCACCAGCTCAAGGAATGCCACCAACCATGAGGATGTCACCAGCTCCAGTGATGCCACCACCACCACCATCTGGGATGCCACCGACCCAAGGA